ACCATAAAGGGCAATGGGTTCTATAACTGATTCAAGTATTTTTAGCCAGATCCTAATTGGTATTTCAAATTTTATGTTCCTTTTGATGGCATAGAATGCCTTTCTTGCCTTGTCTCTCAGATCGTTCACAGCTTTGTGAAAGTTACCTGTGGCGCTGATGTTTAGGCCGAGGTTTGTATAGTTTTTTGTGTGCTCTAGGGCAATGGCATCTAGATGGAATTTGTATTTGTGGACCTGGCAACTGGACCTTTTTTGGAACACCATTATTTTTGTCTTACTGAGATTTACTGTCAGGGCCCAGGTCTGACAGAATCTGTGCAGAATATCTAGGTGCTGCTGTAGGTGCTGCAGAAGCACCAGATAATTAGCAAACAGTAGACATTTAACTTCAGATTCCAGTAGGGTGAGGCCGGGTGCTGTAGACTGTTCTAGTGCGCTCGCCAATTCGTTGATGTATATGTTGAAGAGGGTGGGGCTTAAGCTGCATCCCTATCTCACCCCACGGCCCTGTAGAAAGAAATGTGTGTGTTTTTAGCCAATTTTAACCGCACACCTGTTGTTTGTGTACATGGATTTTATAATGTTGTATGTATTCCCCCAACACCACTTTCCATCAATTTGTATAGCAGACCCTCATGCCAAATTGAGTCGAAAGCTTTTTTGAAGTCAACAAGGCATGAGAAGACTTTGCCTTTGTTTTGGTTTGTTTGTTTGTCAATTAGGGTGTGCAGGGTGAATACGTGGTCTGTCGTATGGTAATTTGGTAAAAAGCCAATTTGACATTTGCTCAGTACATTGTTTTCACTGAGGAAATGTACAAGTCTGCTGTTAATGATAATGCAGAGGATTTTCCCAAGGTTGCTGTTGACGCATATCCTACGGTAGTTATTGGGGTCTCTCTTTCTCTCTCTCCCTCCCTCTCTTTCTCCCTCTCTCTACCGCACCTGCTGTCTTGACCTCCTAATGCTCGGCTATGAAAAGCCAACTAACATTTACTACTGAGGTGCTGACGTGTTGTACCCTCTACAACCATTGTGATTATTATTTGACCCTGCTGGTCATCTTTGAACATTTTGAAGAATGATCTGGCCTTAATGGCCATGTACTCTTATAATCTCCACCCGGCACAGCCAGAAGTGGACTGGCCACCCCTCAGAGCCTGGTTCCTCTCTAGGTATCTTCCTAGGTTCCTGCCTTTCTAGGGAGTTTTTCCTAGCCACCGTGCTTCTATATCTGCATTGCTTGCTCTTTGGGGTTTTAGGCTGGGTTTCTGTATAAGCACTTTGTGACACTCACTTCTCCTCCTGGCTCCCTACCCCATCTCCTCTCTCACCTTCCTTCCCTCTCCCCCTCTCTCCCTGTCACGATCGTCTGGGTAAGGAGTAGACCAAGGCGCAGCGTGTGAACCAAACATGACTTACTTTATTTAATTAAAGTCTCAAACAAAACCAAAACACGATTCGTGAAGTCCACGGTTAAACATACCGTCACGGAACAAAAACCCACAACACCCAAGGGAAAACATACAGTTTAAATATGGCTCCCAATCAGAGACAACCAGCCGACAGCTGACACTCGTTGCCTCTGATTGGGAGTCACACAGGCAAACATAGACATAGAACAACTTAGAATACCCAACATAGAAAATGAACACATAGAATGCACACACCCTGGCTCAACATATAGAGTCCCAGAGCCAGGGTGTGACAGTACCCCCCCCTAAAGGCGCGGACTGCGACCGCGTCTTAACAAAACCCCAAACAGGGGAGGGCTGGGTGGGCATTCCTCCTCGGAGGCGGCTCCGGCTCCGGCCTTGACCACCACCCCTCCATAATTCCCCCGTAGCGCCCCTGGTCCGGTCTGACCCCGCTGGCTGGATCTGGACTGGACATTGACGGAGCGGATTGCTTACGCTCCGTTGTGGAGCAGCTGACCGGTCTTACCAGGCTGACGACTCGCACCCCGGGCTTGGTGCGAGTAGCAGGAACGGGCTGAACCAGGCTGACGACTCGCACCCCTGGCTTGGTGCGAGTGGCAGGAACGGGCTGGACCAGGCTGACGACTCGCACCCCTGGCTTGGTGCGAGTGGCAGGAACGGGCTGGACCAGGCTGACGACGCACACCGTAGGCTTGGTGCGTGGAACAGGGACAGGCCGGACAGGGCTGGCGACGCACCCCTTAGGCTTGGTGCGTGGAGCAGGGACAGGCCGGGCTGGGCTGTCGACGCACCCCTTAGGCTTGGTGCGTGGAGCAGGAACAGGCCGGGCTGGGCTGTCGACGCACACCGTAGGCTTGGTGCGTGGAGCAGGAACAGGCCGGGCTGGGCTGTCGACGCACACCGTAGGCTTGGTGCGTGGAGCAGGAACAGGCCGGGCTGGTCTGTCGACGCACACCGTAGGCTTGGTGCGTGGAGCAGGAACAGGCCGGGCTGGGCTGTCGACGCACACCGTAGGCTTGGTGCGTGGAGCAGGAACAGGCCGGACAGGGCTGGCGACGCACACCGTAGGCTTGGTGCGTGGAGCAGGGACAGGCCGGGCTGGGCTGACGACGCACACCGTAGGCTTGGTGCGTGGAGCGGGAACAGGCCGGGCTGGGCTGTCGACGCACACCGTAGGCTTGGTGCGTGGAGCAGGAACAGGCCGGGCAGGGCTGTCGACGCACACCGTAGGCTTGGTGCGTGGACCAGGGACAGGCCGGGCAGGGCTGGCGACGCACACCGTAGGCTTGGTGCGTGGAGCAGGGACAGGCCGGACTGGGCTATGGAGACGGATAGGAGACCTGGAGTGAAGAGCTGCCACAACCCGTCCTGGCTGAATGCCTACCTTCACACACTCTGTGTGAGGCATCCGCACAGGACGTACAGGGCTGTGTACCCGTACTGGCATAACAGCACGTGATACTGGCGCAGGATATCCGGGACCGAGGAGAGACACTGGAGGCCCCGAGCGCTGAGCCGGCACACTCCGTCCTGGCTGCATGCCCACCTTCGCACAACACGTGCGGGGTGCTCGCACAGGACGTACCGGACTATGCCGGACCACTCGTGGCACAGTGCGCAGCTCCGCATACCGCGGAACCTGCCCAGTCTCATGCTGCCATGCCTGAGTACGGGGAGTTGGCTCTGCTCTCCATCCAGGCTCCGCCAACCTGCCTTCTGGCCCCCAAAACCCGGTGGCCTTCTCTCCTCTTCTCCTATTTCGCCCTGTGGCAGCCTCCTGCTGCCCAGTCGCCCATGCCGTGTGCCCCCCCCTAAAAAATTATTGGGGGTGCCTCTCGTCCGTCCGACGATGGCACTGCTGACGCCGCTGCTCCTCTCCTGCCTGGGTCCCCCCCTTCATTGCCCTCCGGTACCGGACGGCCTCCTCCTCGGTAATCTGCCCCCAACCGAGGAGGACATCCACCAGAGTCACCTCCTGCGTGTGTTCCTGGACACGCTGCTTGGTCGTTGTATGGTGGGTTTTTCTGTCACGATCGTCTGGGTAAGGAGTAGACCAAGGCGCAGCGTGTGAACCAAACATGACTTACTTTATTTAATTAAAGTCTCAAACAAAACCAAAACACGATTCGTGAAGTCCACGGTTAAACATACCGTCACGGAACAAAAACCCACAACACCCAAGGGAAAACATACAGTTTAAATATGGCTCCCAATCAGAGACAACCAGCCGACAGCTGACACTCGTTGCCTCTGATTGGGAGTCACACAGGCAAACATAGACATAGAACAACTTAGAATACCCAACATAGAAAATGAACACATAGAATGCACACACCCTGGCTCAACATGTAGAGTCCCAGAGCCAGGGTGTGACACTCTCTGCTATATCCCCTTTCCATTCAATCTCTCCACCTCTCTCCTCCTACAATATTCCTCTCCTGTCTCCCCCTCTGAAATGAAATTGTCATATTGAGCCACTGTATGACAATTTAACATGACAGCAAATGTGAAAAACAATATAAAAGATTTTGATAAAGCATAACTCTGGGTGACCTCATTCCAGGTAATTTGAAGTTTGTTATATAACAACTAATTCAGGCCTTCATCAATGTTTTCTTATTCCTTGATAGCCTTCTGTTAGTCAAAAACAAGGCCTACTGATGGTGAGGAGCAAGTTACACAGGAAATAGACTATTCCTCGACTATTAGTATGCGGTCTCAATATGGGACTTACAAGGGCATAGTATGTTTTACAGGGGCTGAAAGGGTAATGGGGTACAGTGACACACGTTTTAGGACATAGAAGTGAAACAGCATGTGACTATTTGAGGAACTACTTGAGGGAAACGTGACATATTCCATGATCACGGTATAACTCCTGTAAACTCTTGTTGAAGTGAGAAGCATATGTGCTCTTCTGTTTATGGTGAGTATAACAGTAAACATCTATATATTTTTAACAGCGTTTGTTCAGTTTGACTATTTGATTGACTACTTCAATATAGTATTATTTACCATGATATAAATGTAACAGTTTAGGAACCAAGTTAGTTAATTGGATTACCCATAAGTAGGGCTGTCAAATGAGTGGTTAATGTATGCAATTGTATGATAAACTATGACTATATGGACCAGAGTTTTTCGTCATCATGTGACGTGACCAGGAAAACTTATTTTAGGTTTCTAGGGTTATGTGATGTCATTCAGTGAATACAGTATTGATTAATGTAAAAACAGTAGTAATTAAATATGAATCAGGCACATTCTTAACCAGTAAAATCCACTTGTATATTTTGAATTGGGAACTAGAACAACTGATGAAATATAATTATCTTATATGTTAGCAATCTGTTTTCATTCTGTAATTACCGTATGTCATATGTCCTCCACCTATGATGAAGCAGTTATTTAAAATGTTTTGTATTTGTGTCTATTATTCACATTAGATCTCAAGTAGCCTATAAATTGAATACATCAGGAAGAGTCTCGAGAAGAACCTCATTGGACTCGATTGTTGGTGACAAGCCACTTTTAATTCCGAAAAGGAAACAACCTCCTTAATATGGAACTGAAAGTAACCATGTCAGGAAAAGGAAATGGGTCTACATATTCTCAGTTGAGTTTCTTTCTGTGCATTCTTCTGTATTGCTGGGTTCTATTTAATCCAGTAAATGGCTACTCAATGAAACACTGCAGAATCAGGGAATCTCTAAATATGTCTGTGCTATGTGATAGCAGGAACCTCAATGCCGTACCAGCAGACATTCCATCATTGGTGAGATCTGTAAACATAGCAAAGAATAACATTTCACAGATAAAAAGTGAGGACTTCAAAGATCTATCGATCCTCAAAATGTTAATCATGTACAGCAACAGGATCTCTCATGTGGAGAATGGGTCTTTTTCAGACCTGGTGGCTCTAGAGCAGCTGAATCTGGCCTTTAACAAACTCACGTCCCTCTCAGACCAAATGTTTAAGGGCCTGGACAACCTCGTAGTACTACAATTGGATAACAACCACATCTCAAGTATCGCATCATCATCTTTTCAGTTACTCTTCAGCTTGAAGGTACTGAACTTAACCAGCAACAAACTGCATTGTTTAAAGGAGCTTCAGCCCATTTTACAATTACCAAGCTTGCTGAAGTTGTTTATTGGGAACAACAGCTTGACCTCTTTGCAGTCACAGGAAATATCAAATAGGTCAATAGGGCTGACAGAGCTGGATCTATCCAGGAATCCTCTGGAGAGCTTCAGCGTCACAGCAGATATATTTCCCCATCTTAAGAAATTAGACCTCTCCTTCTGTGGCATTAATGAAAGCATGGAATGGGATGTGGCGGACAGGTATTTTCTGAGTAATGTGAGCAGTCTCGACTTGAGTGGCATTCACATGTCTTTACAGGGGATGAGTTCGGTGCTCCAGAGCATCAACTTTTCATTGGCATCTCTGGGGCTGGATAAAATAGGAAGAGATAATCTCATTAATGTAGCCTGCCACATACCTACACTGAAGACACTCCGATTGCAATGTAACAACTTCAGTACTGTCTCTGACAAGCTGCTGCAGTCCTGCACACAGGTGACTGACCTTGACATATCAGGTAATAATATTACTGACCTGTCAGAAGACGCTTTTAGATCAATAAAAAATCTTAGAACTCTGAGACTAGACTATGACGGCCTCTCTTCTGTGCCGAATGCTACAAGGAATCTCCCCACATTGAAAAAATTGGATCTCAGCCACAACATCATCAAAACTTTAGGATGCTCGGATTTCTCCAATCTAAGAAGACTCGTAAAACTCTATTTTAACAACAATTTAATCTCAAACCTTGAATGTTGTGTTTTCCAGGATTTGAGGGCCTTAAATAGCCTGACACTTGGAAGGAACAGAATCCTAAACTTGGGTGATGCTTTCACGAAGGGTTTGCTAAATTTAAAGAGCTTGGATTTAGGATTCAATAAACTAACCAACATCAGAACAAAGTCCTTCAAAAGCTTAAGATCACTCGAGGATTTGTCTTTACATGACAATCAAATAAAGACACTGGAAGATGGGGCCTTTGTGGGTTTGGCCAAACTTAAAATACTTGTCCTGCTAAACAATGTTATCGGTAGAAATGAAATCCGAGGTGCTGTGTTCAAAGGACTTAGAAGATTAAAAACTCTCAATTTGGCTTCCAATGCTATCAGATATGAAAAAGATGAACTACTCCAACAACCACCCTTCACTGACCTGTCATCTCTGGAAAACCTCTACATATTTAGTCAGCATTATAGTAAGTATAAGATACAGAATTATCTACCTTCCAACTTTCTTGAAGGTCTGAAAAAGTTATCAGAGTTCCAAGCAGGGAATCTTCACATTATGTTCCTGCACCCTAACACATTCATTCACACACCCCAGATGTTGTCTCTTGATATCAGCCAGAATTGGATCAAAGCCCTCTCCCCAAAGCTCTTTCACCCAATCCCCAAGCTCAAAAGACTCACCGTCTCCAAAACTGAACTTGGGTCATTAGATTTCCTTATAGAAGCCAACCTCACTCAAGTCCGTTTCTTAAAAGTGAGACAGAATGAAATTACATGGACCAATGAGACAGTGGTGCACTCTCTCCCAGCCTTAACTCTCCTGGATATGCAAAGGAATCCTTTCATCTGTGACTGCAGAAATGCTTGGTTTGTTCAATGGGCGGAGAGCAACAACCAAACACAAGTTGGTTATGCCTATGACTATCCATGTAGCTATCCAGAAGATCTAAAGGACAGTAAACTGTTGGACCTGGACACCCACTCTTGTTCAGTGGACATAGGCTTCTTCTACTTCATCTCAACCACTTCTCTGGTCCTCCTCACCCTGCTGGGGTCCTTTATCTATCATCTCCTGAGGTGGCAGGTGGTATATGCCTACTACCTCTTCCTGGCTTATCTCCATGACACCAAGCGGAAGAACAGACAAACTCCTCATCAGTACGATGCCTTCATTTCCTACAACACCCATGATGAATCCTGGGTCATGAGGGAGCTGCTGCCAGAGTTGGAGGGAGAGCAGGGCTGGAAGTTGTGTCTGCACCACCGGGACTTCCAGCCAGGTACCACATATTCAGCACAACAATTAGTCATTGTATTGAAATGCGTTGTTATTTCAGAAATGTTTTATGAAAATTCACATTTTATGTGAATATTCTGGACGTAACACAGGCTTGTGTGAGTGACCTGCATCCAGTATAACATTAAATGCCATCTGAAACAGGAAGTTGCATAATACTAAGAGTGCACAGATTCAGTTGAAACCAGTAACTACATACACATACAACTAGTAGTAAATTGTCCAAAATCACTGCTTACAAAGGATTTGTTTCTCACTGTGTTCCACAGGTAAACCCATCATAGAGAACATCACAGACGCCATCTACAGGAGCAGAAAAACCATCTGTGTGATCACCCACCGATATCTGGAGAGCGAGTGGTGCTCCAGAGAGATACAGGTGGCTAGGTTGGTTTAATGTCTTTCTCTTTATAGTTGTATGACTGCCCAGGGGTTTGTTTCCCTGAAGCTTCATAGCTAATATTAACTTTCTTTCTCTCAATGTCCCAGACCCACTCCACTTATTGAACAGCAAAGTGCTTTATTTGACAAATGTTGTTTCTACACAATTTACATTCAAACATCGATTTTTATAATTTTTACTCTCTTGCGGCTTTGCATCTGGGTTGTCGAGAGAAAACAATGTGCCATGTTGTTAGCTTTAGGTATGATGTTTTTCGGAAAATCACCCATGTATGGGACTCGGGTCGTCTACGTAAACACTGAAATAAAAGACTCTGCTCTCTCCAGCTTCCGTCTTTTTGATGAGCAGAAGGATGTGCTGATCCTGGTGTTTCTAGAGGAGATCCCAGAACACCAGCTCTCACCCTACCACCGCATGAGGAGGCTGGTGAAGAAACGCACCTACCTGAGCTGGCCCAGAGCTGGGGAGCACACCGGGGTCTTCTGGCAGAAACTCCAGGTGGCTCTGGAGACCAGGGACTGGCCTGAGGAGAACCCCATCCTCACCGGGGTGGAGAGAGTGACATAGACAACTGTCATGCTCTGATTTATATTCTATTTTTGGTAACATTTTATATATTACATGATTGAATAACATTGACCAATGCTAATATTTAATCAATCTAAGGATATAATAGGTCTACACTTGTAGACCTAGTGCTGATTACTATTAACCAAGCTTTGTTAACTATTGGTTGTTGTTTTTAGCTTCTTTAAAAACACTAATTCTCTTTGGAATGAACAGCTCTTAAAAAATAAATTGTACCATTATCATTATTACATTAAATTAATTTTGTGCAATATGTATTTTTCCATGTCAGATGAAGCAAGTTGATGAAAGAAGACTTGTTATACTGTATATTGGAGCAACACTGTGTGACTAGTCTTAATATTAATACACAGTTCAGTTAACCTTTTTCTTGAGGTGAAACACACACACACACACACACACACAATACATTTGAGTTGTGTCTGTGGTGTTGCGTGTGTAAGAGTATTTTCTCTGGAGTTACCATGGTGACAGTGGGAATGTTTCTGTCACAAATGTATTGTGCTGGAACGGTTCTTGTTGATCTGTGAAATGACTGAAAAAAGCGATGTAACATTATGCCTTCTCATTGCAGTCGCTTTACTCTTAATATACAGGAGAACTATCGTCATCCGGTGAGGATAGCCGAGTTGCAAGCTCGGCTTCAGACGCAATCGTTAGGCAAGGGCAATTTAAGTGTAGGAAAGGATGATACAGTGTCTGTGCTACCAGTAAATACAGGTAGTAGTGTTAATCCTCCTACACAGTCCACACAGCCAGACAATTTTCTCATTGCTTCTGGAAAGAAATGCTGTCGGAATGCTCAACCAGTGTCACTCATTCAGCCGATATACATTTTCAACTGGTTTTCCCCACTAAGTAACTAGTCGGAGTCAGAGCCCGAGCCTTCTTTGGTCTCCCACCATTAGCTCTGACAAATTGAAAACCCTAGTCATTGGCGACTCCATTACCCGCAATATTAGACTTCAAAATAATCATCCATCGATCATACATTGTTTACCAGGGGGCAGGGCTACCAACGTAAAGGCTAATCTGAAGATGGTGCGGCTAAAAACTGGCGAGTGTAGATGGAATAGGGATATTGTTATACACGTCACGTCAGCACCAACAATGTTAGAATAAAACAGTCAGAGGTCATCAAGCGCAACATAACTTCAGCATGTAACTTAGCTAGAAAGATGTTTTGGCATCGAATAATTGTCTCTGGCCCCCTCCCAGATAGGGGGTGTAGACTCGCACAACTCAATCGCTGGTTGAAAACTGTTTTCTGCCCCTCCCAAAAGATAGAATTTGTAGATAACTGTCCATCTTTCTGGGACTCCCCCACAAACAAGACCAATCCTGGCCTGCTGAGGAGTGACGGACTCCATCCAAGCTGGTGGGATGCTGTCATTTTATCTATCAACATAGACAGGGCTCTTACTCCACTAGCTACACAATGAGATAGGGTGCAGGCCAGGCAGCAGGCTGTTAGCCAGCCTGCCAGCTTAGTGGAATCTGCCACTAGCACAGTCAGTGAAGTCAGCCCGGCTTTCTCCATTGAGACCGTGTCTGAGCCTCGATCTAGGTACAACGAAACATGCCGGTGTTCACCTTGGAAATCTCACTGGAATAAAGACCTCCTCCATTCCGGTCATTATTGAAAGAGATTGTGATAATATCTCACATCTCAAAATAGTCATAGTCAATTAACTAATCACTGATCATAAACTTGATGTGATTGGCCTGACTGAAACATGGCTCAAGCCTGATTAATTTACTGTGTTAAATGAGGCCTCTCCTCCTGGTTATACAGTGAGGGAAATAAGTATTTGATCCCTGCTGATTTTGTATGTTTGCCCACTGACAAAGAAATGATCAGTCTATAATTTTAATGGTAGGTTTATTTGAACAGTGAGAGACAGAATAACAACAAAAAAATCCAGAAAAACGCATGTAAAAAATGTTATAAATTGATTTGCATTTTAATGAGGGAAATAAGTATTTGACCCCTCTGCAAAACATGACTTAGTACTTGGTGGCAAAACCCTTGTTGGCAATCACAAAGGTCAGACGTTTTTTGTAGTTGGCCACCAGGTTTGCACACATCTCAGGAGGGATTTTGTCCCACTCCTCTTTGCAGATCTTCTCCAAGTCATTAAGGTTTCGAGGCTGACGTTTGGCAACTCAAACCTTCAGCTCCCTCCACAGATTTTCTATGGGATTAAGGTCTGGAGACTGGCTAGGCCACTCCAGGACCTTAATGTGCTTCTTCTTGAGCCACTCCTTTGTTGCCTTGGCCGTGTGTTTTGGGTCATTGTCATGCTGGAATACCCATCCACGACCCATTTTCAATGCCCTGGCTGAGGGAAGGAGGTTCTCACCCAAGATTTGACGGTAAAATGGCCCTGTCCATTGTCCCTTTGATGCAGTGAAGTTGTCCTGTCCCCTTAGCAGAAAAACACCCCCAAAGCATAATGTTTCCACCTCCATGTTTGACGGTGGGGATGGTGTTCTTGTGGTCATAGGCAGCATTCCTCCTCCTCCAAACACGGCGAGTTGAGTTGATGCCAAAGAGCTCCATTTTGGTCTCATCTGACCACAACACTTTCACCCAGTTCTCCTCTGAATCATTCAGATGTTCATTGGCAAACTTCAGACGGGCATGCATATGTGCTTTCTTGAGCAGGGGGACCTTGCGGGCGCTGCAGGATTTCAGTCCTTCACGGCGTAGTGTGTTACCAATTGTTTTCTTGGTGACTATGGTCCCAGCTGCCTTGAGATCATTGACAAGATCCTCCCGTGTAGTTATGGGCTGATGCCTCACCATTCTCATGATCATTGCAACTCCACGAAGTGAGATCTTGCATGGAGCCCCAGGCCGAGGGAGATTGACAGTTATTTTGTGTTTCTTCCATTTGCTTGGCGATGGTCTTGTAGCCCATTCCAGCCTTGTGTAGGTCTACAATCTTGTCCCTGACATCCTTGGAGAGCTCTTTGGTCTTGGCCATGGTGGAGAGTTTGTAATCTGGTTGATTGATTGCTTCTGTGGACAGGTGTCTTTTATACAGGTAACAAACTGAGATTAGGAGCACTCCCTTTAAGAGTGTGCTCCTAATCTCAGCTCATTACCTGTATAAAAGACACCTGGGAGCCAGAAATCTTTCTGATTGAGAGGGGGTCAAATACTTATTTCCCTCATTAAAATGCAAATAAATTTATTACATTTTTGACATGCGTTTTTCTGGATTTTTTTGTTAAAATTATAGACTGATCATTTCTTTGTCAGTGGGCAAACGTACAAAATCAGCAGGGGATCAAATACTTTTTCCCTCACTGTACTAATGACCATATCCCTGTGCACAGCAAATTTCAATTTATGAAAAAAAGACAGCATTTTCGTCTTTTGAGCTTCTAGTCATTAAATCTATGCAGCCTACTCAATCACTTTTTATAGCTACTGTTTACAGGACTCCTGGGCCGTATACAGCGTTCCTCACTTAGTTCCCTGAATTCCTATCGGACCTCGTAGTCACGGCAAATAATATTCACATTTTTGGTGACTTTAATATTCACATGGAAAAGTCCACAGACACACTACAAAAGGCTTTCGGAGCCATCATCGACTCAGTAGGTTTTGTCCAACATGTCTCGGGACCTATGCATTGCCAAAATCATACCCTGGATTTAGTTTTTGTCACGATCGTCATTCATAGAGGAGGACCAAGGCGCAGCGTTGAATGCGAACATTTTATTTATTAGAATGATCACACGATCAAAACAACAAAACGAAACGTGACGTCCCTGGTTACATAAACAAACCAACACGGAACAAGAAACCACAAATAATGAATGCCTAACGGCTACCTAAGTATGACTCCCAATCAGAGACAACGAGCTACAGCCGTCTCTGATTGGGAGCCACCCTGGCCAACATAGATATACAACAACTAGAACATAAACAAATGAAAACTCACACCCTGGCTCAACATACTAGAGTCCCCAGAGCCAGGGCGTGACAGTACCCCCCCCCTAAAGGCGCGGACTCCGACCGCGCCAACCAAATACAACAGGGGAGGGACCGGGTGGGCACTCCGCCTCGGCGGCGGATCCGGCTCCGGACATGACCCCCACTCCTTCTCTAACCCCCCAAAGTACCCCTGGTCCGGTCTGGCCCTGCTGACCAGAGCTGAACTGAACACTGGTGGAGCGGATTGCTCTAGCTCCGGCGTGACGCAGCACCTGACCGGTGCCGGACCCGCCACCGGTGGAACAGGCACGGGCCGTGCCGGACTGACGACGCACACCACTGGCTTGGTGTGGGGAGCAGGAGCGAGCCGGGCTGACGAAACGCACCACTGACTTGGTGCGGGGAGCAGGAGCGGGCCGGACCGGGCTGACGAAGCGCACCACTGACTTGGTGCGGGGAGCAGGAACGGGCCGTGCCGGGCTGATGACGCGCACCACTGACTTGGTGCGGGGAGCAGGAACGGGCCGGACAGGGCTGACAAAACGCACCACTGACTTGGTGCGGGGAGCAGGAATGGGCCGGACTGGGCTGGCGACGCGCACCACAGACTTGGTGCGGAGAGCAGGAACGGGCCGGACAGGGCTGACGAAACGCACCACAGACTTGGTGCGGGGAGCAGGAATGGGCCGGACTGGGCTGGCGACGCGCACCACAGACTTGGTGCGGAGAGCAGGAACGGGCCAGACAGGGCTGGCGATGCGCACCGTAGACTTGGTGCGAGTGGCAGGAACAGGCCGGACCGTACTGGGAACACACACCACTGGCCCTACGTGGGGATCAGGAACAGGCCGGACCGGACTGGCAACACACGCCAGTACCTCTCGCCGTGCCTCTACATCTTCCACCCCCTCTTCGACCAGTGGCCCCCGTAACCTGGCGGCCTCCTCTGCCAATCCGCTGGGCCGCTCTGCCGCGGTCTCCTGCTGGCCCGTCGTCCACGGCGTTAGCCCCCCCCTAAAAAATTTCTGGG